GGGGGGGGGGGGGCAGCCCTTTTGAACTTTTCCATGTTATAACTGTGTATTTTCACCTAATTTTAGGAGGGGGAGGAGCTCCGGGGTGGGTGAGCCAATTGGACGTTCGATTTTTATCTCATCTCAGCTTTTTGATTACAAGTTATTGATGATTACAAGTTGAATCAGACGGGGAGAAGGTCAAAGAATCAGAAGGAATCGTCGTCGTTGACCATGATACTCCTTCTGCGTCGTAGTGGACGAGTCGATGAAGACTTCGAAAACGGCGTATATATATGACGAGCAACTGCTATTCCTCTTAACACGTTGGCTACCGCAGCCTTTTTTGACCGCACGCCGCGTGGGACCAAGCCATTTTTTTGCGTCGTTTAATGCGTCCCGACCCCGGGACGCATTAAAGTCCGAGAGTTGGGGACGTTGGTGAAGCAGTGGTTCTGGAGCTGATGCAAGGCTACCTGGATCAAGGTCGGCATCGGGATGCATTGTCCCAGCGAGCCAAAAACGTGCGTCCTGGCATCGGGACGCATGGTCGCCAGCGTGTTAATGTTGCTCATATGGAAGACTCGTCCAGAGCCACGACTGAACATGGAAGACTGGTCTTTACTAGGAGTAGCCAGGAATCCTCGCAAAGACCATGCCCTTAGAGGTGTGAGAATTTCGTATTTTTGAGGGAGGCACATCTTGTATGTTTTACTGATTGTTTTTAGACAAGAGACGGGGTACCTACTTGTATGTTGTACATGAGTGCGGACGCCTCTTTGGCGCATGGTTGTGAGTGGTTTTTAGTAGCAACTGCGGTTTACTTGGATATGGCATCCTGCTTGGCGAGTGTGAGGGTCTTGTTCATTGGGCGCTTTCATACTAGGTGCCACGGACGGCACCTGCGTACGACTTCGCTACTACACCGTCCACGGCATTGAGGTTGTAGTGGCGACGTCGTAGACTGGTGTCGCCCCCGGCCTAGTATGAATGCGCCCATTCTGTCCAAGCGTTTAGTGGCTATCCTTTAATTGCTCGCTGCGAACGCAACATACTGTGAGCTAGGATACACCTAAAGTTCGATAACTGTGAAATCAAGAATCCTTGAATTGGTGCTCCGCCTTTACAGTTAGCGGAACGCTCACTGGGCTACTAGCTGGGTTACGACAGCTAGACCCAGAACAGCAGTAAGATACTTTTGGGCCACTTCCCAGTGACTCCTTGTCAAGATGATTAACGGGCCGAGAATTGGAAAGGTCAGGTTGCGGATCACTAGTGTCTTGGCAGAACTCCGTGAGTTTTTCTTTTAGTTGCTGATATGCTTGCACATGTCAGTGCAGTGGACCGTTTAAGAATAGTTGGCTTCCATGAGCACCTCTGACCTTTGCATTGTTCTAGTGCAGATGAACAGTCGAAATGGAGTGCGATGAGATCATCCTCGCAAGGTAGTCCACTTTCAACTTCTGTAATTTGTTTGCAACCACTAGCTTGTTTTTTATGGGTCTCAAGCGCCGTAAGAGGAGCACTAGTTTTGCGAAAACAGCTACCGGTTAGATTGGAGATTTGGGATATGTCCTCTTATTTTATAGCTATTATAACAGCGTTATGAAGCAATCTTCTCTCGATTTGCGTAATATTTCCTGCTTATCCGACGAAGTACCGATATAGTTCGCTACTATTTCTGCGGAATGTGTTTGTAAACGAAGGCTAGCAGGTAATCGCAAAAGTTTTTCGGGACATCAGCAGTAATGAGAGGAACTTCCGCGGTCACATATGCGATTCCATCATGAATCCTCAGTCATCCGGTTTCTGACAGTTTGTTAGTATCGTATGTGATCTTTTAGCAAAAGAAGAATGGGGATATTGGAATATGGAGCTGTCATCGGTTCGAGTTTAAGAATTACCATTGGGATCCAGAAGAGCCCAAGCTTGAAGTACAGTTGATTAGTACGACCACCTGACCATACTAATGTACTCTACTTCAAGTTTGCGTCCCATTGATAGGTGCCAAAGTCGTCCTAAACGCCACGAATCTCGCCGCGCCATTTGCCGCGTCCATTCAGTTCTGGATGAATGTTCCGTCCCTCTGGCGCACTATCTCACACGTATAGTCCGGGGATCAAAACCCCGTTCGATGCTCGATCACGAGATTTCCCATCTCTTCAGGGGGTGCGGTTACAGGTACATCGGCTGGCCCCGCAAGACTTGTTTAAGCGGCATATGTATGCGTAGTAACCGCCAATTCTGGAAAGCGGGTGTGTTTCTTGGAAACGGGATTGCTTAAGAGATTCCTTTGTTATCTTTGTCCTTGCCATTTGTTCAGGTCTTCATCGTTTTCTTCTTCATACAATTAGTGTGAAGCTGAGCCTCGAATTAGTCTTGAGTATTGAGAATATGAAACTGACGTCACATTTTTCTCATCGACGATCAGTGCGTCGGCATAATACCATGTCTTTTTCATTTCAGATTCTGGCAAAATGAAGCGTCGATCGTTGCTTGTGGCCCTCTTCGTTGTCGGGGATGTTGCCTGTTCGCTGTTATCAATGGGATTTTACTCCGACTCATGGAAGTTCGACTTTAACCTTTTATTCAAGTATCTAATGTTCATTGATGGGTACAATTATTTCACGAATCCTATGGATTTTGTTTTCTTATCGATTCTACGGCTCGTTTTCCTGGTCACGGCAATGTCTTTAATTACGTTCCACCAGGATCCCAAAGCGAAAGCCATGTTTATGCCCATGATTGGCTTCGCAACCTTCTGCTACTCTTACACTCTGGTGAAGATGCTTGCATTTTCTGAAGATACGAGGATGATGCAGTACCCTGGAACGTGGTTTTCCGTTGCATGGTCTATGACAGCAGCGCTGCTGTTCTCACTAATTTGGTATTTCATTATTACCGCCCATGATTTCGACTATCAACGATTGGTTTCGGAACGCATAAGCGCGATTACAACAGCCACACGAGACACTTCCGATGTCGAAGAAACATCCGAAAGAGCGACGAGAGACGGTGAGTAACTTTTTTTTCGAGCGTGGTTTGTTCTTCCATGAGACGCATGCTAATCGTGGATTTTGACAGTTTCTTGTTCTGTCTCTTTTTTTATCTTTTCGACGCAGCCTTTTTGAACGGAGAAATTTGAAAACTCGTTTTTGTTCCCTTTTCAAAGCCGACCCTATTCAGATTAAAAGTCACCTTATGCGTTGTCTTACAGTTCGTCCCGAAACACCGCTAATGGTCAGTGTTTGTAAGAATTCAAACTACTCGTAAAAAGGAATGTCAGTGTGGATAACTATGGCATTGGAAACATAATAACATAAAATAACAATAATAATAATAATAACAAAAATAAATATAATAAAAAATATAATAATAATAACATAAAATAGTTCCTAGCATCAACATAAGTACGGTGCAATTAATTGGCTACAATTGCGATGAGGCTCGGGCTGTCTTCCATCCATTGTCACTGTAGTTTTCGTCGTCCTTTTCCCTTTATTCTGTATGGAGTTAACATGTCGCAATGTTCAAGCTCCCTCAAATGGAAAGCAAATTTAGTCAACAACTTGTAGGAAGGGAACTCAAATGGGTTATTGATTTCAAACACATGAAGTACTAGGCGACTTGTAGCGGTGAAATAGTCGATTATACAAAGCGCCGCAAAATTATGAGCGCCTATTCATTGCAACGTATTTCAAGCTTCAAGCTTAGGATTACATTAAAATTTATATACGCGTTTGCTTACATTTTTGGCAACGACCAGCTACAACCACTCTTCGAAATATCCCTCATTAGCAGGAATAAAGGCCCAGAGTCAGTCCCCAAACTCCTCGAATGTTGCACGTAGGTATCCCTCCATTTCTTCTTAGCCCTTCTTGAGTCTTGGTCTCAAGGGCTCCAAACTCTGACTACAAACTCGTTCTTCTTCTGATCAAGGACCACAGGAAGGAGCCAAGCGGCTTAAGATCTGGGAACAGGATAGCCATTCCTCCATGCTAATGGAGTCGCGTCGGCACCACTCTCGACTGAACTTGGGTGTGTGGGCAATAGTAACGTCCTCATGGGAGGTCTGCGGGCTGTTTCAGAAGCGGAGTTGGATCAGTGCTTTAGTACGTCGATCAGTATGCTCCCTGAGTACACGTCTTTTTCAATTTTCACGCCGGTACCGATTAAACCAATGACGGGAGAGATTGCTCTATCGATGTCTCTATCCAAAATGCCATTGCTTAATTTGTTGAAGATTGCTTGCGGTAAAAGGTCGGGCGTTGTCATGGTGGAAGTAGATTTCCGCATTCGGTCCACGATCACGATCGACGTGATCTCTTAATTTTCGCAGCTGGGTAACGTATGTAAAGACTTCAACCGTCTGTCCTTTCTTCAGCAGCTCCCAGTCCTCAATGCCTTTTCTGAACCACCAACAGGTCAGAAGAACCTTCTTAGGGTAAAGGTCGGTTTTTGGGGTGGCTTCTGGCTGTTCTCCTTTGTCAACCCACCGCCGCTTCCTGATAGGGTTATAGTAGAGGACCCACTTCTCATTCCCAGCGATCATCGAGTTGAAAAAGCTTTGGAGAGCTTCCTTTGGAAAGTGAGGAGAGAAGTGCAGGTGGCTACCCTCCTCGAGAGGTCATAAGCGGACAGTTCATGTGAGACCCAGCGACCAAGCTTGGTTACCATGCCGAGCTGTTCCAGTCCACAAACACCGGTTGATTATAGCCGTGCATGGTCGCATTTCCCTGGTGGTTAGGTAGGGTACTCTTCCACGTTGGAGCGTCGTACTTCCAAATCAGTCCCGTCGGCCGACCTAACCTCGGAGCAACTTGGAGATAAAAACCTTTCTTGAATTCGGCGAACCAAGTCTTGCATGTGCGGTAAGAGATGACGTCCTCGCCGTATGCTTCCACTAACATGGCATGGGCTTCTTTTGCAATCCAGCCGGAATCGTGAAGCAAAACTAGGCTGGTACGGCGGAAACTGGTAGTCGTGTGGCATTACCGTCTGCATGTGCAGGATGGGTGGGTGATAGCTGGTGTGATGAAAAGGTATCATGCCCACGTCTTGCACACATGACACCGACATCCATGCAAACGAAACACGGAGGAATCAAACACGGTGTAGCAAACATGCATCAACCTGATATTAAAAAAATCGTTTTGTGAGCTGGAGAGCAGTCCTGGGAATAACGCGCGGAGACAAGTTTGGCAATATGCGTTTTAGTACAGATGCATGCTCGAATTCAAGATTCTTTCTCATCGTGTTGAACATTTTTTGCTATAGGTACATTTTTTAACGTTTATTCCTTTCAAAAGTAGTGATTCAGATGAAGCTGATATACGGTGGTACAAGCATTCATGTTTCATTTTTACTTTCAAGTTTCAGCTGAATCGAGTCCGATTTTATCAACTGCCAAACGAATAAGCACATTGGAACACATACTAGCTCTCCTTAAGTATTGCCAAAACCAATGGATGTGGTTCACTCTGGGATTCATTTTCTTAGTGATTTATGCAATCGGTGAGTGTTTTCATACTAAAAAAAACAGGGTCGGTCACTTCATCCTACTCTGGCAAAAGAGGGGTACTCAGCGGCAATGGTCATTCAACATGTATACCGCCATGGGTGTTTTCGAGCCTTGATTTCAACTCAACACCCAGAAATTGATCTAGGATCAAGCTAGATAACGTTGACACGCATGTCTAATACTAATGTCCAACACTGTGAAGGGGTGCCACAGCAGGTAATGTGGCAGGCTCGTAGACGACCACGAGAGTTCGCATCCTCGATGTTTTGGTTCTTTTTGCATTTTCACGAAAGATTTGCTAAAGACTTTCTAAACGGTTTGTGCCTCCAACTGATAATCTGCAGCCTTGGTGCGTCCTTAAAAATACGTTGGAGAGCGCCCCAACTCTCTAACCCAAGAGATATTCTCTTCCAATTTCATGGTAACAAAAGACGAAACCACCATAGAGAATGAATTTGCTTAGCGTTGGGCTCTTTCCGCCTGGTTTACGCAGGAACTCCTTTAGCGAAAGCCATATTACCACTATCAGAGAATAATTCTTTGATACCATATTGCAAAACACAGTAATCCAGCTGCTGCTCTTAGTCCTTCCTCTCGAATATTGAAAAAACAGTGTGCGCCAATCTCATACTGCGATACCCCAGCAACGACAACGTGCACAACTATTTTGTACAGGTCGTAAATACTGTTACTTCCTAGTTGCGACAGCGACGGTGACTTCACCAGTATTGTGATAAAGGACCTCTTACCTTTTTGGTTGGTTCTGTAAGAGTGATTTCAAAAAAAAGGCAACTCAATACCTCGTAGTTTTGCTATGGTAGGGAGTAAGTTGGGTGGTACAATCAGAATGACCTCCGACTTTCATTTTCTGAGGGGAAAACCCGCACACTCCCGTAAATGATAGAAATATACCGTTCGATTTTTACCGAGTGTCAGCAATAGAATTTGAGAGAACTTGTGAAAGGTTGCATGCACTTATTTTTTCATGCTTTCTTCATGTTTCTCAGATCATCAGTCCGGAACGACCACAATGACTACTATGATAATTTTTGCTAATCCATTCTTCGCATTCTGGGACTTCTGCTTCGAGCCCTTCATATGTATATACGCATTTAATGAGCCCATTTCCGGAATCTCTCGTCGTTTCGAAGTTTCTCGCATGACAGTCTCTTGTATCGCGATGCGTAGACAGGTCAACGACCAGCCTTAAGACGGTCGGTTTGTCTCGATTACGAACCCCATCCCGAATACAATTGTTTGGAATGATAACGCTACGGAACCTGCAGAAACGAGAAAAATGACTGCCAATTTGAATGTATGTTCTATTTCCATAAGAAGACAAGAGAAAAGTCTTTTACGAGTAAATGCAATCCTATCCAGATAGGTTTCAAATGTCTTATAAGCTTCCTGGCGAGAAGGAATTCAGAGAAAAACAAAGGCAGAGTTCTACTTGAGGCTACACGATCGCGCTTGGGCACAATTTGTTTTTGGACGAAAAGATGTTTAACGCGAACGAAATGTTCAGATCCCAGAGTACATTTATCTCACAACAAGTGGTGAGGGAGTTGAGAAACGGTCAGATTGTTTCCCGTGGCCATTTTTCTCTTCTATGATGGTTTGGCCTGCATTCTGTACAATCGGAGCTGTATCGCTTATTTCTGTCGAGAAAAGTATTAACCCATTGACGACCATGCAGTCCACGTGTGGACTGCAGTTGTATTTTTTGTTTTATTCATCTATATTTGCATTTTTTTACAATTTTTCTTTTTAAAAGGTCTAGATGAAACCACATAAAGCGCGACCCTGGAAAATCTTCCAATCTTGCGATTGTAAAGGTGTTTTTTCGAAGGAGCACATTACCTTGGTTAGTTTTTCGTTCGTTGAAAAACTTCAAAAAATGAGATTTTTCGAAAACGCGATCATCATTAGCATTTTGTCTGTCATCGACCAAATGCAGAGCTCGTAAAAGTTTTCCCAAAACGATTTCTGGTAATGATTGAAGTCATGATTGAATGACCACTTGACTGAGTGCCGGTTCTATAAAAAAGATCAATAATCACTTAGTGTGGGCATTCTTTTCAAACCCATTCGAAGGAACATTCCGAAAACTTTACCACTTACAAACTTCAAAAAAATGGTCATGCTGGACCGTGAGAGTGAACGAAAAGTGCGAGCTCCCTCGCGGCGGTTTTCCCGCAAAACGTCATGGTCGTCAATGGGATAAAATTGACCAGAATGTGTTCACGAGTGACGTTTCTGAGGAAGTGCTGCTTTGGGTCGAAGGTTATTCCAAGGACACGGTTCACAAACCCTCGCGTACTTGCTCACGAATGGAAAAAAATCAAGACTGGTACTTAGATGTTCTCAATTTCTTCCCTGCTCGAATTTTCCGGCCCTTAATCCACTGGGTCCATGGTTGTTGTGTATACTGAGAGAAAGACTTGCGCTTCAACACACATCATTGTTGCTGCTTCTAGCTGCTACTAAGAAGTTGGAAAAAGCCCAGATTGAAGTTTTTCAAGAAACTCTTGCGTGCCGCATGTAGTGCCGATGAGTAGTTCGAAGCATCCTTGAGCTATGATTAGTACAGGAGACGGTTATATCGAGTGACCTTGCATTAATTTGCTGATACGATGCGTAGAAAGTAGTTCACAAAATGTATTCAACGTTTATTTCGTACCATGTTTATGGCGCACATATATATATATATATATATATATATATATATATATATATATATATATATATATATATATATGTATGATATACATGCAGATATATCTTCAGGACAAGCTGATCAGTTAGAACTCTCATTGGCTGCTTCCATAGTCCGCTGGCCGGCCGGCCGGCGGACATGAGAGCAGCCATTCAGTAATCTCTTAATAAAGTCATCAGTTCCAAGGTACAAGCGCAGTTCGTCCTTAAAATTAGCAATGGGTTTTTACCGAAAACAAGAAAAAACCTACAGATGAGTTAAGTCATTCTAATTTCTTCCTTCCAAAGTACAGAAAGCAGTCTGAAATTTTGTAACTTCTCATGGAGTACCTGAAATGTAGGCGAAACCCCCTTTGGTCAGTAAGGGGTAGAACCCACATTAGGCTCGAAATACCATTTCGATGTTTGCAGGGTCAAGGAAGGTTGTGATCGTCAGTGAGAACCCTATAACAGTTTCGCAAGCTTAACAGGCATCTCATCAGAATTGAAAACGAATCCTTGCATCCCTACGCCGTGCCTATGACTCCGCCATTCGACATGCTTCTACGTTTTTGAGCGTCGACGGGACCCCGTCTCAGCTACAAAACATAGTGGAAACAAGTTATGGAAGAAGAAATGTTTCCATAACTGGTTTGCAGTATGTTTCGTGGCTTGGAGTATAGATTGTAATCAGCGTTTGAAAAACATACGGCGGAATACATTTATCTTGAGTAGCTCTTGCGACCTGTCTACTGAGATACCATCATAATTCAGCAACATTGTGGTGCTCTTGGTAACCATGGTAATCGTTTCAGCTCGTGTGTTTATTCCGAACTATACGGCTCAAGTGATATCTAATATTGTTAAAAAAGCTGGCATGGCCTCCTTGGTTCGATCTGTGTCGATAATGGCTGTTCTCACCATGATTAGGTAAGTATGGAGCAGAAGGTGAACACCTTCAAATATGCTATAGACTACTAGCAGGATCGCTGAGCTCTTCTATTTCTTGTGGTAAAGGACACTACAAAGTTTGCTATGGTTTAAAGGAAGGGGACTTGTGAAGGAGATGGAGCAATGCAACTTGCATTGAATATGCGGTGACGCTTACACTTATGATCATGAGGTCCCGACTTTTTGCTGTTGGTCCAAACAATTATCAACCATTGATGACTATCGAAAATCAGCTGCTACCATTTTTTGTTGAGCTGTATAATAAGGTACCGCGGTGGTTATCGCAGCAAGAGGAACCTTAGATCTTAAAGCCACGAGTTAGAAGTCTCTTCGTACGTCCATTCTTACGTCTGTAGAATGACCTCACCTAATTGGTCGGGTGTAGCCGTTTTGCACGGCCCTTCGCCGCCGCATTTTCTTTACTTGACACATGACCTACACCCCTTGACCCATACCAAGAAACTTCTGCGTCGTTCAACTCGTCCGAGCCATCTAGTCTTGTGATCTATGCTTAACTGCCGGTGTTTTTGACTTATAATTCTTCTCACCTGTGCGAGAAAACCCTTATCATGTACAAAGTTTGATAGTCATCCAACTTTCCTTACCTCTTCATCAAGTGAGGATAATGCAAAGAAATGGAAACTAGAACAAAAGTATGGCATAAAATACTTCGAGAGCGATAAGTTTACGCAAAAAAATGCCAGGTCTCTCTCAGAGGTCGTCATTTTTACCCTTAGATATTGGCGAAATTTACATTACTCGCCGTAAGAACTTTGAAATTCACGCGAACTTGCATCTTTTTCTTTCTCCATGAGTTTTGTTCAGAGTGTAGTATTAGAGGAGCTGGAGATACCATTAAAGTCAGTTAAGTTCTACAAAACAGCTCGTGAAATTTCGGAGAAGCACGGCTTCGAATGCGCCATGCATTTGGGTTCTATCTAAACAACTAATTAAATTTGCACACGGTATACACGATATCGCTTATGCAAGCTGATAAGCCACCAAGAAAATGCGCTTCAGACACCTTCTGGAGTGCGTCCTACACTCGACTCCATCAAATCCATTGTGGAGTTGATTATATGTAGTGAAGTTATTACGAAAATGACTGTCTATCTTGGTTCAATCCATGTTTTACGCGAGTTTCTGGCACACACCTTCATTTTGCCATCTCGGGCTCAAAGCTCATCCTCTGTGGCGAACTTGTGAAAGTTGTGCGGCACCGTGACCTTCAAATAAAGGGTGGGCGAGTGATAGCTAGTTTGATGGAAGACTACCGTGCAGACTTCACGCACACGGCGAAATACCATCAGTCGAAAACACAATATGTAAGATTCAAACACGATGGAAAAATGTGCAACCTAGTGCCACCCCATCCCGACGAGTATCACATCACTCACTGAAGTGAAAAGATTTCTATGTCATCGGGAAGGGCGTGCCAGACCTCGTATCTCTTGACTTCAGTAACCCCAAATCAGTCCGTTTCAGTTATTATTAGTCTTTGCCTCCGACATCTACGATCCCGCCACACTCTATATTTTTAACCAAAGCGTCAAAGCTCTGCTGGCAACACGAAGGGAGTAGTAGATCGAGCAAGTTTTGCCTTTTGTAGCACTTTATCAGCCCTTAGGTGGTTATGACTACCTGATATCAACCATATATGGCGCTACCACAACCTTGGTTACTCACCAGTGTCAAGTCTCCAATGCCAATTCAAAGCTCTCAACTCTTGTTGATTTTGCCTTCTAAGATTTCTGATAAACCCTTCACAATTTACAACCCAGCTTGTCATCTTTCCGGTAGCATTATCAACTTTGCCAGCGTGCCGCTCGTATCCATTCTAAGTTGAACTCTCTAGGCACAGGGGGATAGGATTATGAGCTTGCACTGAATCATACGCAAGCACATGCAGCCAAACAAACAAGCAAACCCATTGACAGACACACATAGCGTAAGTCGGGTCGCCCGGTTAACGTCGAGCTTCCTTCCTTCCTAAGATAGTTTAGGATAACTGCCCCCTCCTTCTTCGTAACAAATACTATTTCGTACACGAATTTAGACAGAGGACTAACATGTCTTAAAAATGCGCCGATGCTTATGCCTATGGTTAGAAGTCTCGATCTGTTGCTGTTCATCTTAAAAATAATGACCCATGGAAGGTTCAAGTGGTGGGCAACCAAAGCCCTGAATTGTACTCACAAATGTTGTCGAGTCATAATCACGTCATTACGGAAGGTCCTTATCAATGAAGCTTCCGTTCTCTACGGATATATCATAGATGGGAATCCATGATAATTAGCGGCGGAACAAGTTTTGCCAAGAGTGATATTGAAGCAAAGAGAAACTGTGATCTTCGAATCACAAACTTCGATAGAGATCGTAATCCCTAACACTGCACTTACCCTTCTTGCTCTTCTCCTGCCAATTTCAACCTTTTTCAATCCACGGGACAGGTGTTATGAACTTCCGCTCGAACAATTGTTCCGCGCAAGCCCGCCCCGTGTGCGTAGTCGGGTACTGCCATTCACGATAAGTGGTCCCAACTTGCCACTGTACTTACAAATTTGAACGCTCTAGGGCCAAACTGACAATTTTCGCGCAAACCTCGCCTCCTGTAAGCGGAGTCCGGTCCTTCCACCCACCGCAAGTGTTCCCATCCTGTTTCCTGTAATCCTAGCAAATTAGAATTTCTAGGTCCACGGGGATAGGAGTTATTAATTTCCGCTCAAACCCCGCTCATTGTGGGAGAGTGCGGTCCTGCCACCCACCACAAGTGTTCCCATCCTAAATTTTGTTTTCTGTTTCCTTATGTTTTTGATAAGACTTTTCTGTCGACTCTTCATTGCGCACTTTTATTTATTCAGCTTTCTTATGTTTTGAAAATCACACAGAGTGTAATATGTTGCTATTTTAGTACAATTTCTGGTGGATTACGTGGCGGCTGTTTTGACTACGCAACAGCCCTTGTCAGCCGACAAGTCCGCCTTGATTTGTTTCGATCGTTGGTCGATCAAGATATCACGTTCTTCGATGTTACAAAGTCAGGTGAACCTTTTCGAGTTCCCATGCAACGGGCTGCGATGAAGAGATAAAGTTAGGAAAGGAAATGACATTTTTATACGCATTTCGAATGCATTTAGTGTTGCGTTATAGTGGGCATTTTATGGTGCTTAGCCGAAATATCGAATGTAGAACGTTACAAATGATAGGACACCTTCCAAATCACGACTGTTTTGGCTTCTACCAACTACCATTCATCGCTGCCAGCAACATTTTGCCGATTGCAAATAATGTATCCACAAAATGACCAACTGTTTTCCATAACTTCATTTGAAGTTTCTACCTATAGCACCGGCGCGAAATAATGGACAGCCTACATATGCTTGCAAGTCAGCTATTAGCATTACATTGCCATGAAGGAAGCGTGGTTTCCAGTAACCTGCGAGATGATTCTTTATCTGAATAAGGGAGAGTCGAGACAAGAAGAAATGTAACTATACGATTTCCTGATTTCCTGATTAGGGCCAAATTGACAGTTTTCGCGCAATCCCCGCCCCTGTGGGCGGGGTCTGGTCCTGCCACCTACAATGAGTGTTCCCATCCTGTTCCCATCACTCCTACCGAATTTGAACCTTCTAGGTCCACGAGGAAAAGAGTTATGAATTTTCGTTCGAACATTTATTTCATTTCGCACAAACCCCACTCCTTGTGGGCGAAGTCCGGTCCTGCCATCCTCCCCCGCCCTCTGTGGGTGGAGTCGGTCCTGCTACCCGCTATAACCGTCCACAATCTGCCGCATGTGCTCCTTGAAAATTCGAACTTTCTCGGTCCACGGGGACAGGAGTTATTAATTTCTGCTCAAACCCCGCTCATTGTGGGCGGAGTCTGGTTTTGCTACCCTTCATGAGTGTTTTCATCTCGCCGCCAGTACTCCTTCCAGCTCTGAACTTGTGGGTCCATGGGACAAGAGACCTCCACGACGACAAAATTTGACATAGGACCAATGATAAAATGTCACTGGTACTCAGTACGTGCCGAGTTTACGCCTATAATTAGAAGCTCGATTCATTGCTCTTCATCTCGAAATTGTGTCACATTGATGGCCTAACTGATTGTCAACAAATGTCTTGAATGGTACATAGAAATGGATAATAACGCCTGTCACAGATGTCGTTATCAATGGATCATTTTCTCAACGAATTTTCCATTAATTGGGAATCCCAAATCATTAGCGGTCAGATGAGTTTAGTCACAAATGATATGTCACAAAACATAAAGGAATCGCGGTACTTCATTGTGTCACAAAGCTTACTGCGTAACCGTCGTAGTTTAATAGCAAGAAATGAACAAAATTCTCATTTCGCATTGGAGAAATGTCTTTGGTCGGTCGCTATTACCGCATTTACCCGTCTTATTGAATAAAACATCTTAAGGAGTCAGTGTTTGATCATGAATACCCTTTAGCTCTCTAAGGGCCTTATCAGTTCCTATCAGTTGTCATCAGTTCGTACCTACGACCACGTCATTGAAAAGATTCCACTGTGGACATGAAGGGGCTTGCAACGCTTGCTCGCTTCTTATTATCTGTCTCTATCACTGATTAACTTCGGCCCCCTTCACATCCTGCACTATCTACTAGAATGCACAGTTGTTAGTATGAAAGACGTTGTAGACTTACTGGCTATCGCCTCCTATCAGTTTCTATCAGTCTAATAGTTTTCCGAAGTGCCAAAGCTCTGCCATTAACAGGAAGTAAGTAACGGTTCCTGTGGCCCTCGCTTTTCAAGGCTCTATCAACTCCCTTTACTATTATCACCGCTTCTCACCTACCATCAGTGTTCCTATCCTGCTTCCTGCACTTCTATCAAATTTCAACGCAATAGGACCAAGTAAAACGTGTCTCGAAGTTTTGGCGGGTTCCTATGACCCCGGTTGTGGCGAGGGACATCATAGCCGGCTGATGTGGGGTTCCACTCCGAGCAAGTGCTTCTTGCTTCGAGGCTAACTGCGCCAACTGCTTATGGTTGTGCCTTTGCTATACTTGGTCTACACACTTATTGTCACTAGATTATCATTCTACAATTTCTGAAATTGGTTACTCCTGTGTCAGTTCTCCAGCTCTCGTCTAGCGCTACATTCAAACTTTCTAAACCATTGTTGCTAGTTCGCAATGCTCAGTTCTAAGTATACTAGAATGACTAGATGGTGGTTACGTATCCTTCATAGATATCCTCACTTTTGACTTTTTATGGTAATTAGTTCTTTCAGTTTTAGTTTTTGTCTCTATGCAACATATTTATGTTTTGACGGCATGTCGAATGACGTACTAAACAATAAACAATAAACAGGAGCTATGAATTTGCAACCTAAAATTTCTATCGCGCACGCCCGCCCCTATGGGCGGAGTTCAATCTTGCTACCTGCTATAAGTGTTTCCATGCCGCCCCTGTACTCCTACCAATTTTGATTGCTTTGGGTCCACTGGAACAGGAGTTATAATAGGAATTTGCGACCTGAAATTTCTACCGCGCACGTACCGCCCCCTGTAAACGGAGTCCGCTCCTACCGCCTGCCATAAGTGTTCCCATGCTGCCCCCTGTACTCCTACCAAACTGTTGCCTTTGTAGGTCCACGGGAACAGGAGTTACGAGTTTGCGACCTAAAATTCTATCGCGCATGCCCCGCTCCCCAAGGGCAGAGTGCGGACTTGCCACCCGCCACAAGTGTTTACACGCTGCCCCCTGTACTGCTACCGAATTTGAGCTTTCTAGGCCCACAGGAACAGGAGTTATGAATTTCCAGTCAAACACACACCGGCACACACACCCACACATCTCGACACATCAACAAACACACTTAGCGAATTATATAAAGTAGGATGTTTCCATGCTGCCCCCTGTACTCCTATCAAATTTGAGCTTTCTAGGTCAATGGGAACAGGAGTTATGAGTTTCCGGTCGGACACACACCGACACACACACACTAACACACCGACACACAAACAGACACACTTAGCGAATTATGTGAAGGATATATTCTACTATATATGACACGCCAAGTGTGCAAGATTCCTGGCTAAGAACATCGGAAGTGCCTCTATATATCTCTCTATAAAAGGAAAATTGCTATAAGAACAGGAAAATGATGGTTCAGAGCGGGCGTCACGAACCATGGTAAGACTTTGTTTCGCAGTTCTGGCGCGAAAATTGACAAAAACATGCTCAATTTTCACATTCTGGAGCGTTTCGCATCTTTCTCTCAAAATAGCCCGTGATCTTTTCAATAAGGCCGCACTGCAGCCCTTAGAGCCAGGCTCGTTTAAAAGTAGTGTCACCAAGCTGCCCTACTTCATTAGCTTTAAGGAACAACCATCCTTGGAAGATCTTCACTCACTTGAGTTCTTTGTGTGATCCCTGATTAGAAAGGGAACATTTCGAGTTTGCAATACTAGTTTGAGGTCTTCAAAAGCAAGAGTGAAGAACCGCTGGGAAGAATGGAGAAGAGATATCTGCGCAAAATGTGCGAGAAGGTCGAGAACAGTTCTTGATCCTATATCTGTGCTCATGGAGTATGTTTTGAAATGTGATTATACAGTAGCGCTCAAGTCTTCGGTGAAATGATTCTTTTGCGGTACTTTTCAGTCGTAACTCCTTTCCTACTGGATCTAAACTTGCGAATTTTCCATATTTGGAGCGTGGGTGTATTGCGAATATTTACCACTATTAACCTGCGATCTCAACATGTTCCAGACATTCCAAAGAGCCTGAATTCGAAATCAACTGAAAATACAGATGAAGGTCCTGCTGAAATCTCTTTCCTTTTTGTCATGTCTAGAGTGTACGAGCGGTAACGCCGAACACAGTAGATGAGAAAAACGCACATAAGGTGCGAATAAGTGCAGACGTCAACAACTTTAGTTTTAGCAAAATCTGCTACCGCAACAAACACCTTGCTCTATCTGTGGATATTGCAGCTTCGCAGTCAAATAGTGTTGGGTAGGGTGAAATATGCTCTAGTGAAACATATCAAAATTTTGCGCGATTTGGTCTACTAAGAAAAAAGTTATGAACGAAAAAAGTTCGAAGCAGTTCACCGTAGACTTTTGAGCGGTACTGTAGCTTGCTAATGCACATATAGTTGGTAATTAATGATGAGTATGGCTACGACCTCGAGAAAAGCGCAAAGGGAAATGGACAGGGCATCTGGGGTGTCGCCTTCGTGTGAGCATGCGGTAGCCCAACCAATTGTTCAGTTGGGTTAAGCCGTCGTCTTGGAGCACTCGATTTACTAGGTTGGAAGCGCTGTCTTCCTGGGTGCCTATGCTTGGAACTTTGGATTGCTGTTGCATCTGCTCATGAAGTAATGAGGTTGATCGATATACAGCAGAAGACTTGATGCACTTTTGCGTTGCAAAGGGACCAAGGAACCATATTGTCTTGCTCGCTGGCCAACATGTTATTGGGTTGCCCGAAAAGTTTCCGCCGATTTTCGACACCAAGGATTTATAACTGTTGTACAAAAGGTGACCCAGCCTCATAAAGTTATGTTTTCTGAAAGAGTAGGTCCTCCTCTATATACCTGTTTGGATTATGTCAACATTTGACGAAGTTTATCTGTACAGGACTCGTGTGACAATGGAAAACAAGTACGCGCCTTTTCGGAATCTGAAGCATTTCCTCTACCGCAGGGCCTAGTGTGCGGCTCAAGCCGCAAGAAAGATATATGACGTTTGAGTAGACCATGCTCTGGAGGAACGTACAGTGCTTGACTAGATTGCAATCTAATCAGAGCAAATTAACCCTCGAAGACCAGCAACCCTCTCGGAGGCTATCATCAGTTAAAACGACCAAATCAAAATGTTAAAGGAAGCGAATCGGCACATCACCACTGCTGGAGTAGGACAAGGGCATATTGTTTCGAAGTCAACCATCCATGATAATCTGCTGGACCTTGGTTTTGTAAAGCGCCTCGATGTTGGGATACCTCACGAAATGGGCGAGCACAGTATGACGGACCGCGCCTCCGTGTGCAACTCCTTGCTCAAACGAAATAAAAATGAGCTGTTTCTGAAACGCATGAGCACGGAGAACGGTAACTGGATCGTGTACAACAATGAGGAGCGGAAACGATCGTGGAGCCTCCCTAGTGAGCCGTCACAAAAGACAAAATCCAGGTGCGGAAGACTATGCCGAGTTGCTGGTGGGATTCCAGGGAAATCACTTACCATGAGCTATTGTTGCATTATTAAACGATGACTTCAGAAAGGTACTATAACTAGCTAGAAAATTTGGAGGCAGCGATAGACCAGAAGCGACCCGAATTGGCCAATCGTGAGGGCGTTGTCTATCAACAGGGTACCTCCAGACCACACGTATTTTTGGCCACTCGTCAAAAATTGCTAGGGCTTGGGTGGAATATTTTACCACACCCCCATATAGTCCGGACATAGCACCATCAGAACACCACTTGTTTAGGTTTCTGCAAAATTCTTTTAATGGATAATCGTTCATTCCGCTGGAGGACTGCAAAAAGCACCTGAGAGGGTTTTTCGCTTTTAAGTCTGGAACCTTCTATGAAAGTGGGAATTGGGATATACAGGGAGATGGTGAATCCCTACTGAACAGAATGGAAGATATATGGTTCAATCAATGGATTTCTGTATCTAGGAATTTTCATTCAAAGATGAATCAAAAATCGGCATAAACTTTTCGGACAACTAAATACATTTCTGTATATGAGAGCGGTCAACGACAGCCGCTTGCAGTAGTGCGCACTAAGTTGGATGTCAAAAATCAATTTTCGATAATGTCAACATTGAATATTTTTCAACCGCAGTTCTTGCTATGTTCCCTCTTTCAGGTGAGATAGTTTCTCGTTTGACATCAGATTGCCAGACGATGTCAACAACGGTGTCCACCAATCTCAACGTTTTTCTTCGCAACGGTGTCATGCTTATTGGTGCTCTCGTCTTCATGTTTATTATGTCGTGGCGTTTGTCAATGGTTAGCAATTTCTTAGTTCAAAAGCTCTGGTCAATCGACCCATCTTGACATACTTCATTTCTTGATTACAAGCTTTTACATTTTCAAAGCATCTGTCCTTAACAAGAATTTGCTCTATTCAGGTCACTTTCATTGCTATTCCTCTTGTTGGATTCATCACCAAGTGGTACGGCGCGTACTATGACGTAAGATAATGCTTGATGCTTTTTAGTCACTATGAATGTCTGATAATACATTTTAGTTTCGGATTACAAAGTGGCGTTCAATCAAAAGTTATGACAAAAATACTTTCAACGGTCCTGAGTTTTGCGTAGTCATTGGAAAATTTCTGCATAAGCAAGCACCTGAAGCAGTCCTATTGTCTAGAATTGACCAAGTGTGTCTGGTGACGCGTCGGCTGTTTGTGTTTGTGTGAGCGCGTGCCTGGGAATTCATGACTCCTGTCTCTAGGGATTTGGAGCGTTCAAATCTGTAAGAAACGGGCGGCATGATGAACACAGTGGTAATGGATGGCAGAAAATGATAATAAATGATAGGAGCTGATGAGAAAGCACAAAGCAAAATGGCTGACCCTTCGTGCTGACAGTGGAAAATTGATACATTAATATGGAAGTAGGATGTGACGGGATCGTAGCAGGTTTGACATAAGAATCAACAACGACTGATAGGGGCTGGTAATGGGCGTTGGAATGCACTAGCCTTTACACCACTTCCGCTTGCCATATTAATATTGTAGCCTCCCTACTTTAATGGATGATTTAAGGTGTGACAGGATCGTAGATAACAGATGTGAAAAATGTTAGTTTATTAAGCCTGATAACAACTTAGAGGGCAAAGGTTACGTTCCTGGACTCTTTCGCGTTTACAAAATAACCTTGCCATTTTATTTTTCCATATGTACTATGACAGGAGTGGTAGAACGGTAGAGTAAATTGACAAAAAGTAGCGCTGTCAGTGATAAAGAATGAGTAAAGGTAGTGGCGTAGAGAAAAGGCAAAACTTGGTTCGCGCTTATGTACTTGATAAGTACTGTTATAGTTACATTACGCCATGCGTCAGTCCACAAGCATGGGTTTGAGTCCTGCCCGAGGCCAAAAATGTGTCCACTAATCGTCATCACGGAAATTTTGTTAATCCTTGCCTGTATGTGGAAACTACTACGCATCACGTTTGCGAATCAATAACTGTTCACTTTTTTCTTCATTCCGAAATCTTTTGCGGCACCTCATGTATAAAGATTTCTGATGATCGCTTCTTCATCATTCGCCAATCTAGAAGACAGCATTCAACGGTCACGTTTGTTGCTCTGTTGTAGAAATGTCGCTGTGACCGAAACCGCTGAGTTAATCACCGTCAGAGGTAGGTATGAAACCCTCAATGGATGATTTTTTTTCAAAAAGCAAAGCTAAGAGAATAAATATGCCAAGCTCTCCTTCAAGGCGCTATGTCGAATTGTTGTGCCCGCATAATTTGTGGTACCTGAAACATCGTGTTCGAAAACAGAACTGAGTTCCTTGCTCTGAACCGAGGTGGAGCAAAGAAATCAGTGTGAAATTTTGTGTTTGCCATAGGAAGGAGGCTGATCTCTTCTGTCAGATACGCCGTCTCAAACGTAGCAGTAAACACTGCTAGCCTCGACAGTTTTCCATCTAGCGCTAGCCGTACCGAACGCAATCCGTTCTGCTATGTCAACACTTGGCTAGTCCACACCGTCGGTCGATCGGGACGTCGTTGAACTCTGAAAACCCAAATATCTAGACCGGGACGACTTTTCAATGCATTCCTTGTTTGCCACCTCGTAGAAACTCGGCTGGTCTCGGTGTCGTACCGTCGCCGGTTGTTTCAAGACTTCTACATATGGTTAGTCCTTGGCATTGGTTCCGCAGGCGGAAGGGCTACAAGGATTAGATTTCAATCACTGAATTTCAATTTCGAACGACTTTTCGGTTAAATCTATCGATTTGCGACAGCAGCAGAATCTGGTAAAGTTTTTAACATAGTCAACTTAATAATCGATGCCCGTCGGCGTTCCCATAGCCGCGACCTCTACAATTTCATCCTATCAAGAATTTGGAGTAATGCCGCTCAAGAGAAGAACGTGTCCCGAAGGGAATACTACGGCTACAATCCTGCTGTAGAACACGCTCCTTTACTGCATGAATGAGGCGGCTTCCACGGCAGCCAGATCGTCAACCCAGCCTCCATCCTTGCCAGGGTCACTTTTCTAAATAGAAGTTGTTCTTATCTGTACTCTAAGCTAGGATAAGTCTATTGGTTTTTAGTTTAGTCTACGATGAGGTTGTGTCAAGGAGGCTAACGTCATGTGATCGCTGAGAATTGGCAACTTTTCTATTGACCGTGCGAAATAGTCAACCGATTTTCTGCTCCACCGTCACTAGTTTAATACTCGGAAGAGAACTTTAAAGTTTTCAAACCATTTCAAACAAATGGTCCCATGTATACGCAACACACTAGGCGGGAAAAGTAGGATAACCTGGAGTTGTCTTACCCCACCCAGTGAGTTGTGTACACAAAAGACCATTTGTTTCGTGAGCTGTCATGATCGTGCTGCAATATGATAGCTTTACCTATACTGTTTTAGAAATTGTCTGAGAAAACGCAGACGACCATAGCTGACGCCAATCAAGTTGCCGACGAAGTTCTGTCAACAATGCGTACCGTAAGGTTGTAGCTTACGTTTTTATTCCTTGTGAGATTTTACATATTGAAAAAGACTTCTTAGCTTTGTCTTAGCTTTGGCAAGATGTTTTTTTGTAGATCGTTCGCGTGCGAGCGACGAGAAGCTGATCGATTTGAGGGAAAACTTGCTGAAACATTGAAGATGAATAGGAAGAAGTGAGTGACATGAAATTCAAAGCTTTTGGCGGAAGATTAACTTATTGGAGTATAAGGGGATTCAGAATTCGGTTTAAGTGTTGGAGAGATGTGGTGAATAGGCCTAGAGTAAGCTTCGGAGAACTCGTTATCGTAGGAGACAACTGAACGTAATTGCTGTGGATTCGTATTATAGAACTGCAACAATATATATATATATATATATATATATATATATATATATATATATATGGAGAGAAAAGGGAAGAACTTCGAAAAATTGTTAAAAAGGGGGCTGATCAAGAATGGCACCAGAAAAATGATAGGAGAATGTGGCGTCGGGCGAGCTATACAATGTGTGTCATTGCGTTCGTGTGGGTCCTGCTGCGAACAGCTTGCTACTGTAAGCAGAAATTCATTCATTCACAAGCATAATTTAACAGAAAAAACCTTGTGACAGCAGAAATAGCCCCCTTTTTCATCCTCTTGAGGTGGAAAATTAGAGTAAGGATCGTGTCAGTAACAAGAATAACAGATAATAAAAGACTGGGGAAAAACATCGCTTCATCACACGGCCATCAGCTGATTGCGTGTAGGTCCTAGAACGATTATTGCAATCTGTATCGCCTCGGCACTCGTCTGACGTGACATCGAGGAACGGGAAGTCCGGGCGATTCGATAGCTTGCTCCCACTCTGCTCTAGCTGGTGAGTTTTGAAGCTCGACAGCGACCCTCCTGTTACTCTGGGGACCGCCGGGTAATCCTAGGGGGAGGACTCAGAAATCATTTTTATCGTGAACTGTGCCTTTGAACCCACATGATTTGAGTAGGGTTCTGCTCATGAGGGGCAAGGCGCTTGTGGGCAGCACGCAAACTTTACAAAAATGAGTAGAGGAAAAAGCACAGGTGATAGTGCTAATTATGTGTACCATAATATGATTGGTGATCAGATCGACAATGATCTTCGTGAGAAGATTAGAACAGGGTTTTCAAGTTGTTTTAGGGCTCATGAAGCACCTAATATGTTGAGTAAGAACAGCTTAGTTTGTGACCGTCAAGGTAATCGCTTTAGTTTTCGATATCTAAGGCCTTCCTTGACTCCATGGTCCTCGCAACGCGCCAGTGAGCCTTATGGCGGTGGTATGTGATTGATTGTAGTGAGCACCATTCGGAACACTGCTTTCTAACCTAGCTACCCCTTCTTCTTGTAATTTAACATTCCTGGTGGATGTGACTGTTTAGATGAATGATCGGAAGAAGTAGTGTAAAACTTACAGATAGCGGACATTTGTCAATTTCGTCTGCGTCTCTCATGTAATACAGCAACACATTCTTACTGATTTCTCACGAAAGGGGAACGGTGCACTCCTACAAGTATCGCGTGTAAAAACCAAGCTACCAGACCAGCCACGGTTTTTCAGAATCTGCAGAAGGCTCTCAGACTTTCTGGAATAGTCCTTCCATAACGGGCACTGTACATTTCTTCATCGAAGCGGTAGCGTTTCGGGCTTTTTAAGAGCGTAATGAAGTGGGCGACAGTTCACTCTGCTTCATGGGTGTTTGTAGGTACATATTTGTGTCTGTGTTCAAGCAGGCAAAGCTGTCAAAAAGACCATATTGAAAGTCGGCCGTTCTCCTCCGCTTTTCGGAGTGCAGAGACTGTTCCTTCGAAAAACCTGTGGTGACATTTTGCTTTTGCAACAAACGAAGCTCTGATGGGCATCGTGTATTGTTTACTCAGCCTCGACGGCCTCAGTCAAAAGTGGTATTCTCCGCTGGTTCAGGTCTTTAATTCTTTGAACGCATCTCTGCATAGCTTCGGTCATTAGCTGCAGATCCTTACAATTCCACCTTAGTACATTAGTTTAATGATATTTCAGAACAAGCATCTTTAAGTGACCTGTAAACTACCCTTCTCTAGCAACGTCGTGGTGTCGTTTGAAGAACAGGATATATTGTACGTCGACGTTCTCGATAACGGCGTCTTTTCATATACTCGCAAGCAAGAAAAGTGTTCCCATATTTCTCATATTTTCCCTGTAAGTCCCCACATAGCTGGTGCAGGGTGGTTTGATCCGACATTATTAGAATTTTCTGTATTTTCCTTGAAAAATTGAGAATCAAATGAGAGTTTGAATTTGATGTACCGACTTACAATGTAGAGCTCTTTGTAAGGCATCGAAAAACTGAAACGGACTGGAATGAGCTAGTCTGCCAATAAATTACGCACGTGGGCTGAAGGAGCCCGAACATATCGAACTCCCTGATGGGGCCTTATGGATAGAAATTCAGGCCGTAGAAACAATCCGCAACACCCGTTGGAGCATCCCCTGTTGCGAGACCAGAATGTTTCCATTCACTGTCTGAGAGAATAGTATCTGCATCCCGAAAAGCAAAGGAGAACCGTCGTCTCTTAGTCTGATCTTTTGAACAGCCATGTCTGTTTGCACACAAATACACATGTAATTACATACACACATGAGGTGAAATTATCTGTTGCCCACTTCGTTACTTTCTTAAGGAGTCCGAAATGCGCTGAAGAATTGTACAGCGCCGGTTCTGGGAGGGTTATACCGGAAAGTCTGAAGAGACTCCTGCCTGATTCTTCCAAAAGCCCGGGCTTGGTTTTTTACGCGATACTTGTAGGGATGCAGAATACCCAGTACCCATTCCGTGAGAAATCACTATGAATGCGTTGTTGGACTAGAACGGAGACGTAGATGCAAATAAGTACAAATACAAATATCGCCCACCTGCCTGCTGTCTGTAATCTTTACATTCCTCCCGATCGTTCGTCTAACATCACATCCAGCAAAACTTGTAAATCAAGGCAACACGCTCTTTCACTGTTCCATTTTTACAGGCAGCTGTGCTATGAAGCAGACACTCAATCTAGTCAAATGTTTCCAAGTTACTTACTGGCTAGTACTCACTTTTTTGTTTTTCCGAGAAAACCATTTGGACTGCGCTTAATACCGTGCGCGTCTCATGACTTCCGTTAAGCGTATTTCCTTGAAAGAAAACGTGAAGCGTAACTGCTTGGCAGCATAGTGTACTCCCTAAAAAATGAAGAGAACAGATAAAACTCAACTAGTAGCGCCTTAAGCCGTCTATCGAAAACGTAAATTACTGGAAAGACGACCACCTACCATTGTGAAATGCCTGTACTTCATCAGAGAAGAAATAATAATATATTTGCGCTCATATCATTTATCCACACGCGTCGAAGTAGGCATTTGATAACGTGCCAATTGACAGTCTCGTTGGCCAGTATATTGTGCAGTGAAGTTTTGCGCAAGAATCGTGATAAGCATTTGAGCGCCGTGGTTCCACTCTAATCTTTAATTACGAAAAAGTAAGTGTTCTGCACTGATGCGGCAATTGGACGAAGACCTTCCCACCTGGCTGAAAAAAGAAATTTCTACAGATAGTTACACGGAATTTGTATTAGACATTGAGATCACCCGAGTTATGTCGGACTCTCCTCTTATATGTCTTAAGTTTGAATACCTCACTGAAACTATCATCAGTTCCCCTTTCTTCTCGGACTATCCCTACATCGAGCAGTACGGAAGAACACTGGTCAGAATCGAAGGCTATCATCGATTGTTGAGTTTACAGCTTCAATCTCATCACACCTCCACTTTCTTAGAGTTGGAACACCATGCGGCCAACGGAAACATAATTGCGATTGAGCGGTCAATTACACAGCAGATTGATATAGCATTCGGTGAGGCTTCGGTTGAAAGAAGCAAAGTTGTGAATTAACGCCAAACAATCTACTTAAACAGGATTGTCGATTTTGGATTCCCCACTTTCCCTTTGCCCCTCCTGATTTCAGTCCTGCCACCCGCAATTAGTCCTCCTGTCCTCCGTCTGCATCTCTTCTAAATTTACAAGCTTCAGGTTCCCAGGTCCAAATTAATGATTTTCGTGCAATCTCCCCATAGTGGGCGGGGTCTATAAATGCAACCTGGTGTAAGTGTTGTCAAATCGCCATCTGCATCTCTACGAAATTTGAACGTTCCAGATTCAAATTGGTCCAAATTAACAGTTTTGCGCAAGCCCTGCCCCCTGTGGGCGGTGTCCACACGTGCTTCCTAGTGATAGTGTTCTCAAGTTGCCATCTGCATCTCTACCAAATTCGAACACCCCAAGCCCAAATTGGCGATTTTCGCGAAAGCCTCGTCCCCAGAGGTCGTAGTCTACACATGCCACCTAAATAATGTTCCCAAAATGCCATCTGCATCTCTACGAAATTCGAACGCTCCAGATCGAAATTGGTCCAAATACTATTTTCGCGCACGCCCTGCCTCAGCAAGCGGAGCCCAGCTTGGGTTACATATACTCAAGTAGCTCGACTCATTTCCCAGTTGTTCCAACCTGGCTTAGCTGTTCCAGTTCGATTTCCAGAAGGCGCCATGTGAAACAGCTGCAAACAGACAAACAGATCGGAAAACAAATGGATATTTGTGGTGTATATAAGCATGGTAAGGATTGTAAAAATGTTTTCTAGATAGTCATCTTCCAAAAAACTTTATTCGACCAACTACCCACTTATGATTACAGCATAGACTCGCTTGATTTCATTTCTGAACTTCCTTGTCATGTTTTGGACAGTTTTTAAAGGCTTGCCATCGTATGTGAGGAGGAAGACAGTTCTCAAAGAGCTCCCCATCGTATGTGAGGAGGAAAGTGTCTGCATCGCAAGCTGCATGTTTGAATGAGTAATCCAGTCCAAGATATAATGGATTTGCACAAAGCTTAGACCTTACACTAGAAATGAACTAAATGATAATTTCTACAGAGCCGTTGCCTATATGGGTTACACGTGGAATAACGAGTTCTGCGACAATGCTATCCTTGTTGCGGTACTCTTTTACGGTGGGCACTTGGTCATGTCAGGTACTGTTCCTCAATCACAATTAGAATTTTCTATTTTGCTTTGAAGTTTCTTGTCGTTCTCCGAAAGAAACCTGACCCTTAGAGTTTAGACATGATGACTACCGATCAATTGATTACCTTTCTCCTATACCAAATGCAGCTTGGCGAGAATCTTTACGTGAGTCTTTAAAGTTTGAATAGTGGCTAGTGTTAATAAGGATGATCTCAGGCATACAAACACTACCTTTCAATTCTCAAGCTACAAACTTATGAAGGCAAGCGATAAGGCGCGAAAGAAACCATCATTAAATTAAGGGCACAATAAGAGAGATGAGAGCTAAACTCCTCAAATAACGGGTTTTCCCATCGCCCATAAAAAGGCCACGCCGCACATACATAATACCGCGATTTCAAAGTGGTCAACATTGAATTGTGGAAGGTTCTGCGTCTCATCATTTTTCCGCGCTCAGACACTTAGAATACAGAATCGAACGCATCGGTGCTTTAGCGACATCTTGGTAGTCGACATTCCTCCTCGGCCCTTCTTCCATTATTGATTTTTCGAATCCTTTAATTGCGCAGTGAAGCCCTCCTCTCTAATGCCATTCCTCCAAAGCGAGGAGAGGCGCGACACAATTCATTCATCTACTACCTACTTGACTTCCTTACTATTGTTGAGTTTCTTCCCTTTAGAGCAGACCCTCTGAAGTATAGCAGTCATATGGGTTTAGGTCAGGTGGATTTGTAGGGAGCGGTAATGAGGTTGTACCGAGTTTTCCCTGCACATCTGTCGATGCCCTTGCATGGGGTGGTCGAGCATAATCCATCACAATCCGAAACTTGTAATGGGTGTGAAACGGGGACTCAAAGCACCATTTATCTCAGTCGGTAACAGGATACTCTAGCGCTTACCGCAGTACACTCTGGTAGGGTCTTAAAATAAAACACCCGATTGAACAGAGGAAGAATGAGCCCATGTCCTTCTTAATGTGTCTCCTCACCTTTTAGCGATTACCTGTGTGCGATTTTCATATGGCACGTGATTTTTATTCTTTGCAATAATGAAGTCGGTTGATGTCGTCATTGCTCACAGTCGAGGAGTTTCTAACACACACTGACTCGAACTCGACGCTCCTGCTCAGTCAAGGAGAATGCGATATTTGCAAAGAATCCAACTTCGAAAGCGACTTCTGCGCAGAACGTCGTGGGTGGTAGATTGGGAGTAGAGGTAGTCTTTTTCATTTCCTGAGACTTTGAGGAGTATTGCTCTCACGAGAGGCCGGAACAGTGTCGGTATTTGAGGACAGAGGACGTTTGCTTCGACAAACGTCTTCAACCTCAAACAACTGACAGATCTCTTCTGAGACGAAGCGATCGTGCCATTTACTGCAGGTGACAATAGAAAGTCTCAGCTTCCCATTAGTCACCGTACCTCGTTCCAACCCTGAGTGTCGAAGCGATCAGTGTCATAATAGTGAAAAAGAAGGCTTCGACTGTCTTATCGGTATCGTTTGGTCGACGATTACTTACTTCCGACGACCAGATCAAATATATCTATATCTACCAATCAGCTATAGTATGTATTGATCTATCAACAATGCCCCTTTCCCTGTTATCGGGTCTACAGCAATTCTCTAGCGCGTTCGCGACCAACATGCTTTCGAAGTTGCGAGGCAGAAATTTCTCAAACTTTCCGGGCACCTTAATGATAAACGTGCATCATATGATGAACTGAGTAGAGTGGGGTATGGCTAAGAGAAAGCAGCAAAGGAAACGATTAGCGGAGAAAATTCAAGTTAGAAGCAGCAAAGCAGAAATGGACAATAAAACAAAAGTTATCTGACATCGGGCGAGCCAAACAAGTTGAAAGGAATTGAGGAAAGCTGTAAATGAATAGTGTGCCGTGGCGTCGTCCAAAGTTGGCGGAGCCAGCTTGTGCTTTTGTGTTTAGGTGTCGTTGCGTGTGTTTGATTGAAATTCATAACTCCTCCCATCCTGGACCTGAAGCAATCGAATTTGGAAGGGATACGGGCGGTAGGATGGGAACTTCGATGATAGGTCACACAATGATAACGATAGGTAGGAACTGATAAGGAACCTCAGAAGACAAAAGAATGTCTATCCGTCGCACCCATCGTGGTGGATCCTGCTACTCTTGGCGTTAACAGTGGAACCCAAGCAATAGTATGGATAATGTTGTGGGAGGGGGGGGGGAGGGAATGAAGAAATGTTAATGATTGTTAAAGGCTGGTAAAAAGGCCCAGAAAGTACGAGTCACTGATATTTTTGGAACCTTGTTAACTCGGTTGTGATGTGGAATGTGACGGGATCGTGGATGCTTGACGGCAGGGCCTGTTTAGTGACCATAGATGGCAAGATACACTAAATCTGAAACGCTCTTCGTGTTAACGGTGAAATCTTGGCACTCGGGTTTGGTATGTTTCAAAAGAGTGGATGCTTGATCCTTTATTTTGAAACATACCCCGCCCAAGTGCCAAGATTTCAATGTTGCTGGTGAGGGTAATGGGGAGTTGCAGAGGGCAAGAATCTGTGTTGGCGGCTCCTTTCGGGTTAATGTTGGAAGTATGACTCTTGAAGGTAATGTAGACTTCGTCAAGATTGTGGATGGTTGATGAGAGAATCCAATGACGTATAATCGCTGATAATCGCCTCGAAATCACTTCCTCTTTTCGTATGGCGACATAGCATAGCTACTTCGCGTGTAATATAGTAGAGGACCAAAGTGATAGCAGCTTATAATTACTTATCAGAATTTTCAGAAGTTTCAGTTTGTAATCCATTTGGCATACATCTCCCATTGATTATGACATTTTGATGTTTTTTAGGGTGGGATGGGATGATAGGGTAGGTTCTTAACAGATGAATGATAAATGCAGTGATAACGGCCGACAAAAGTCAGTACCATATAAAGGGAAGGAGTTTGTTTGCTGTCAGACACGTTGACACTTTAAAGTTTGCTTCTCCACGAGGGACCTTGTAAGTATGTCCTTATTTCAATATCAGCTGCAACAAAACCTATCTGACCACAAATCATATAGGGATCTCGGAGTGTTTTGTACGCTAATGGATGTACATATTTCGACAGTTGATCTCGCATGAAGATAAGGAGTGTTATGGATATGGTATGGGCTTCTCTAATAAAATCGTTATCACCACTCGACAGCTTGAGTAAGTATCGCTCAAGAATTTGAGCGACTAAACAGGTTGCTCTGTTGCGCCTGCAAATATGCAATCAAGACATATAAATGTTCCTATCGATGGATTTTGCTGGATCTGGCGTAACGAGTAGAGATTCTCCGAGAGTGAGCGAGGCATATGCGAACGATGTAGAATTTTTAGTACCTGTGTGGTTGGAGTTTTCGGTCAGAAAGTATCTACTGGTGAAAATGTAGCAAAGGGTACACGTAAAAATGTTAGCATAACACTGTGAAGATTAGTGTAAGCACCGGCCATCTGTGCGCTTTTATGCGGTTTTAGCCAGCGGAATGTGGTTTTAACTATCAAGGGAAGGATACTAGGTCGCAGTGACCATTCAAGATGAAATGTATACTGACGTAATACTTTCAAACGCTGGTCTCAAATCTGCGAAATCTGGGTTCCAAATCTGCGAAACGATTAAGGGAGCAAAGTTACAAGCCCAGTTTCCGAAGATGTCATGTCTTTTTGTCGCTTTTATACGAGACACAAGGAAAACTCAAATATGTAGCCATGGCGCAGTTGGGAGGACGACGGACTGGTAGGCGTGGCACGGAGGTTCGTATCCTTCATGCATACCCTTGTTTAGCTTTTTATAGAAAGTATCTTGGTCGCTTGCCAACCCTTTAACGCATCGTATAAACTACATGCAGCCGTTCTTCAGGTTTAGGGAACACCCAAAAACGCTAATACGAGTAAACTTTTTCATTTCCTTCACAGTAATGTGGAAGTCTAATTGCGAAAGAGACAGTACGCTCGTATATGGCTTCAAATGGTAACAAAAATATAAATAGAGAGGCTGAATATGAGAATTTGCGCCAGGTGGAATGTTGAGTACTTTCACCGCCTTCTCTATTGTCAAAGCACCCTGCATTGCTTCATGGTCCTTGATTGAGCTCCATGAGTCGATAAACAGGAAGGGTTGAAGGCAAATCTGTTGATTCAACGCACGATCTAACCCAATGCAGCACAAGTTTCTGCCGGATTTCGTAACCACATCTTGAATGCTCGGAGCAGAAGGGTTCGATGTACACCTCAATTCGGTCTGTTGGCGCGACAAAAAATTTGAGTGTATTATCATTTTTGGTGCTTCCTAAACATGAAGAACGGCTGTATGTAGTCTATATGATGTGTTAAAGGGTTTTGCAAGCGTTCAAGATACTTTTTGTAAAAAACTAAACAAGGATATGCATCAAAGATACGGACCTTCGTGTCACGCTTACGAGTCCGTCGTCCTCCCAACTGCGCCATCGTTGCATGTTTGAGCTTTCCTTGATTCTCGCATAAAAGCAACAAAAAGAGATGGCACCTTTTGAAACTGGGCTCGTAACATCGTGCCCAGAATCGTTTCGCAGATTTAGAACCCAAATTTGAGATCAGCGTTTGAAAGTAGTTACATCAATACACATTTCATCTTGAATGGCCACTGCCACCTAGAATCCTTGTAAGCCTTAGGAGGGTAGGAGCACCGGGATGGGTGAGGGATTACTGAAAACTTGCCCGTCGCGCATCCTGGTGCTTCCCTTCCCTTCTAAGGCTCCTTCGGAAAATGACACGTCACACCGTTGTTTTACGTCCGTTCGTTGCTATTTTCTTGTTATACCAACAGTGTTACTTGTCTTGTCTCCACTCCCCCTTAACATTTACCACATCATTTTCTCCTAAAAGCGTAATGGAGGCGAGATCTGCATGGTGACTATGCCATTGTAACGCGGGAAACCCTTAGTAATCCGGGCGATCCCACTGTAAGGTATATAAGGTAACGAAATATGACAGAATGGAAGCGAGAAAAGGAAATTTAGAGATAGGTTCGACTAGCAAAAATTGAGCCAGTATCGAACGCGAATAAGAAGAAGGCGAAGTTTTTTGTTGCACTCGTCACAGCTTTCGCTCGCTAATCTGAACCTGAGTTTAATGATTTTAAGAGAAATGTTGAGGGGGTATCGCGTTTTGTTGAGATGGAACGCAATACCTCTCTCAGGTTAGTCGGAGCTCCTTTGTAATACGTTATCAGAATCACATCACTTTTCAGAACATTGGTTATGTTATGACCGGCTTGATGGAATGTGTCGGAGCATCGAGGAAAGTGAGTTGTCATTGTGAGGTAGTAAGGGTGACCAGCCATACTGCATACCATTCTTCCTAAATGTCTAGGTTTTCGAATACATGTATCGCGAACCGGAAATCCTCCACGATGGTAAAATGAAACCTCCACTCAATGGTCACATAGAGTTTAAAAACGTTGACTTTACCTATCCGTCGCGACCGAATAACAAGGTTTTGCAGGTGAACTTTGCCGTTTAATTCATTACGTTTGATATTTGCTACGAAGAAATTTCATTCAAGAGTCTGGATTTGGATGTCGAGGCTGGTCGTACCACAGCGCTCGTTGGGCCAAGCGGTGGAGGAAAATCGTCTATTGTTTCACTGATACAGCACTTTTACGAACCGAACAATGGAGACATAACGATTGATGGTGTCAATATAAAAGATATCTCTCACAGTTATTATCATCAAAAGGTTAGTTCGTAAATTTGATGTCTGCTGTTCAGCTTCTTTCGATTAAGGCATGAACCCTATAAGGTAGCTCGTCTCCAAGACATCTCCAACCTCTTAGACTAGAACGAGACTAAAACTGGAACTGGATTTTACGTTCAAAATTTCGCTTGAATTGATCTGTAGGAAATTGTATATCGGAGTTGTAATGGAAATAGTCAGCAGAAAGTTTGGTGATGCCTGATGTCAAATGATGCCTATGTAGAAATTTTCCCATTCTACCTCTCCTCTTTTCTGAATTTTTGGTCACATGTGATTTTAAAAAACGAAATAATGTCCATCCTGCTACGAAAAGGGACTGGTTATGATTCTCAGTCAGTGATGCACAAAATGATCCGTTTAGGAACTGGGGAACAATATAAACAGAATAGTAGATTACTTATTGCATAACACATTTTTTCACCCACATCACGTTTCACACTACTCATCGGACGAGCCCATCTTATGAATCATCCTACTATATATAACGCACTAAGTGTGTGTGTGTGTGTGTGTGTATGTGTATGTGTATGTGTATGTGTATGTGTATGTGTATGTGTATGTGTATGTGTA